ATCAGCCTTCCAAGGGTGTAGTTACCAACGGTTCGAAGGTCCTTAGACGAGAACTCCCTGGAAACGCAGGGTTGATTAGTATCGTAGGGCTTTGGCAGAGCTTGGGGTATAAAAGTGGCAGCTTACTCCAATAACTCATGGTATGATTTGGCGAGCTATTGCGGCGTGACGCAATCGCCAAAAGTCAGCAACCTTCATTTCAACAGCACCATAGGGCGAAAATAAGCAGCATATCAAACGTCCAGGGATTTATGAGAGGGAGACATCAGGGCGCACGGGAGACCGCGTAATGACAGTTTGGCAATAGCTACAGCCAGTTGACATGGTTTGGCCCAATAGAGTTTGAATGTGGGGTGTCGTAGAAGATGCGAGCCTTAGGTTGACCGTTTTATGATGTATCCAAATATCAATGCCTTAGACGAACCTTTTCCTTTTGTTTCTGGGATTGAACCTCCGCTCTTGACCTGGCCGACGGCATGTGTTATGAGTTCGTCTCCGCCTAATTTGCAGATTCCCGCGGAGGTGATGATGTATGCGCACGATGACCGCTTGAGACTGACATCCAACCTGAGGCGGGACAGGGGAGGAGTATCGCGATCAGGGGGACGAATGGAGCCAAAAGACGAAGAAGCGTAATAGAACAAGGAGTTCAACGCAATAGACGGCGGCGCGCAAGATGGCTGGCAGAGCGCGGATCGCATAGACGGACGGACCGGGCAAATAGAATCGAAATTGTTTAGTAATTAAGGAATCGGCTATAACTCGTTTAAGTCTCCGCAACGGAGGAGAGACGACTCGCAGAGGGATGTAGGAAGGACGCAGAAAATTCCCTTGTCAGGAAGCGGAAATTTCGGGGCCAAACAGGACGACGTGGAGGTGGAGGGTGGAGGATGGACGGAACGGCAGCTGTTTGTGGAAAAGGATCGGAAGGAGGTCGGAATGACTTGAAGATGAGAAGCTCAGATATTATTATTAGTAAACAGGCCGGAATATAATATCAAGATGGAAAGAGAAAGAGATGCTGTATAAAGACAAGAGGGGATAAATTGGACAAGAAAGGAGAAGAAGCTAGCAATACATACCTATACCTATATCTATTGGATCTGCCGGAGAATAATATGATGAAACAAGAAGTTGGTTTGTTTCGAGGGTCAACGGACAACCTGATTGTGCATCGGCTTGGACAAGATGTCAATAATTATGACTATGACTATTATTATTATTCTTCTTCTTCTTATCCTTCTGATTATCTAGCCAACAAAGGGGCCATCTGGAGGTAGTATGACGATGATGATGAACCAGGGGAGCCGTTATTATTAAACAGGTTAGATAGTTGTTTTCAAGGAATCTCCTCTCTACTCATGGACATAATTGCCTACCGCATATGGGCTGTACGCACAATTTCACACAAGCCAATTGTCGGACAATCCATTATTACGAACCACTGACAGCCAGTAAATGACAAACAGACCATGATGCTCATTTGCAGGTGGGAACGTGCGCCGTTTCGACTTTCGAGTCTTTCGACATCGACATCATCATCAACAACCCAGTATCAAACCACCCGAGGAGGTTGAGGGCCTCATACACGAGGATCCCTTACCGGACAGCTCAGATCTTCACTTTACGTCCACATATATGGTATAGCATGTTATTCCCTTGACTATACTGATATCATCACTGAGTAAGTGGCTCTCAGTGCTACTCGCGTGGTCGATAAACGAGCCCCTGAATGGTAGATAGATAAATTACGATGACGACGGCTCCCGGTCCCAACGGTGGGTGACATGGGCCACTCCCCGTCTTCTAGAACCCTTCCTAGCCCCTAGACACGGGAAGTGCTCGCTCGCTTGTGTTTTGAATTATCGAAGATTGGATTTTATTATGATTTGAGTAATCTAAACCCTTCCCGTTCAAAGACCAACTTGGAGCCACGTTTTGTGCTGAAGCGTCATGAAATGAAAAATCAACGACTGGGGTATAAACTGGCAAGACTTCTAGCCCAGGCTACTACCTTCGATAATACCAACAAAGTGCTATTTGAATATCCATCCACCATAATTAGAGCATCAATTCGTCTCTTGCCACCAGGGAAGACTTTCCATGTGTTGAGCTGCCCGGTGACTGGCGCATAACGCAGGATCTACGCTGCTCAGGCCCTCTTCTCCTTGAAATGCAAGAGATACCAGCCCAGCAAACGAGTGGAGAAGGTCTTGCATTGACCGTTAGAACAAGTCCTTTCTGCTATGTCGTAGGGGCTCTGAGATCTCACCTGGAGGCTCACCAATGCCTTTGCCAAAGCCGCCGATAATGTGCTGTGTCTTCTCGAGCAGATATTGCCGGTTGCGCTGCTGGTCGATAAGAGGTAGTCGGTCCATCATCTAGTCCTGTTAGTAGCGTTCAGCATCGCTAGATCGGTAAACACTTACTACGAGCGTACCCGTGTTCCAAAGCGAGTAACATGTATCCGCATATTTGTTGCATCGCCCATTGAAACCTGCCCAGTGCAGAGATTCCTCTGTCGGCGGGGGTAGATTAGGAAGCAAGCCAATCCTCTCATGAAGACTGAGGTTGCCTGTATCACGTCGTAAACCATCTCTCTGCTCAGGTGGACCATCGTCTTCCTCGTCCGACTCCTCCTCTTCACCTAAATCAGACGTCTGTCTGGAGACGAGCCATTTGAGCAAACGTTCGAATTCCGCACTCCCGGGAGAAAGAAGCGCCATGTGTCCCTGGTCTTTGGAAAGACGGCAAAGAAAGGTCAGAGCGCCAATGGCACAATAGGTCAGACCAGCTGTCTTCAGTCAAAATCAGTCCCTTATGGCCAGAGTCCATTGCACATACAGTGGGATTCACAAAAGGGCGCTTCCGACATTCCCCCGTCATATGTCTATCAGATCCAAGTATCAGCATTCGCAGCGCAGCCACAACCCAACACCAGAGAGTCTTCGAACCTGGCAAGCCTGTATGAATTCCACGAGCCTGCCCACATCAATATCGCTCACACCAGCAAGGCCTCTCCCGCTCCTCCCTCGCAGAATATATCGCGTCCCAGCTGCGCAGCAGCAGAACCGCAAGTCGCGACCACCCTTGACCTCTCCCCTGGGGCCAAGCACTTCTCCGAAACTGCCATCCTCACGTTGAAGTTTGGGCAACCATTGAAGACACTCAATCCGCTTCACCCTTGACAGGTCATCGCGCAGGATGAGCAGCAATACCAGCGCAAAGAATGTAGCTGGGACATTCGCCGGATCCCAACCTTCATTCTCCGGAGTGCGCTTGTCAATCCCAAAATCTGTCCCTGTGAACCCGCGGAAACCCCCCGATGGAACCTGGCAGTGATAGAGCCAGTCTATGTACCCTTTTCGTTCCTCGGCGGTAATTTTGCTGTCCAGCGCGCCTAGAATGTCCAGACTGGAGATTGTGAAGAAAGCGAGGAGCATGCGATTGGAGTCATTGGAGGTGTATTGGTGGGGGAGGAATGTCTTGAGACAGCGGAGGTAGTATTTGATGTGACGTTCTTTGTTAAAGACAGCCTCCGTCATGTTGCCGCGCTTGACAGATCTCGCATCTGCTTGTCACATCAAATGAAGGTAAAGCTAAGAACAAGCGAAGGAGTGAGTTCCTTGAGTCCGTGACTTGAATTACACCTTCTTGTTATCATTATTATTTTGAGGGCGGGCTCCGGACTTAACAGCGGTAACCCCACAAGATGGATCCAGACATCGGACGTGAAAATAGTGGCGGCAGCTACAAAGTCAAGAACATGAACGATAAGTATCGATAGCTCCCAGGGCTATACGCAGCTACTGCTGTGACTTGTATATAGTATATTATTTTTATCTCCTCTGTCTTCATCTAACATGGCTCTTCTCTCCTCCAAGACGCTCATTCAGGCACACGCCCTGTTCCTGTTTGTTCTGGCCGTGTACCTGACCAGATCTCCAAGCACAGTCACCGAATCAGACGTTGTCTTCATGATAGGAGAAGTTCTACAGATCGTACGTCGGAGATTCTCTTATATCATTCAGCCCCAAATCCCGCCTCAATCAAACTGACAGAATTCAACGACACGAAACAGGATGCAGCCCCGTCCTTTTCCCGTCCTCAATCCCCCTTCGCGCTATGCGGCATCCTCCTCATCGCCGACGCCCTCGTCGATCTGATCATCGTCGCAAAAATCCCGCGGGTCAACGAGCTCGTCGCCATGGCCCAAGCGGCCAGGAGCCAATCTGCCACACCCATGTCCAGCGCGATGCAAAACCCCTTCGCGGCGCGCCTCGCCGCACTCTATTCGGAGATCTGGACTTTGCTTTCGGCAGCCCGGTTCTGTCTATTCTTTGCTGTCTCGTTCTTCATCTACCAGAGCAAACCTGATGCTTGGGGCGTGGGTACCGCGCGCAGGGCAGGAGGGTATGGGTCGGCAGAGGCGACATCGGGCTTGGACCAGCTGAAGAATAGGGTTGTATTTACGTATGGGTTTATGGAGATGATGTTCTGGCTCTGGGTAAGTCTTGTCGTTGTGCTGGCCACGACTGGCGGTATCTGCAAACCTTCTGACTTGTGTTGATCCGTGGTAGATTTTCATCACTCTCCGCGAAGAGAGGCAGGAAATAGCTGCTCGTTTCGTGGAACGAGAAGAATAGGCGGTGGTATTCCGTTGTTTTGTTGATGCACATTGGGTCCAGGCGTTGCACATAATCTACAGAGCATCATACACTGGAGAATGACGACGAATTCTTCGACAGCACAGCAATTCTGGTATATTACAGCTAAAACTCCTGTTCGCGGACTATTAAGTAGCATATGCGTTCAAAGCAGAAACCGATCCCCTCAAGATCTTCATTATCGTCATAAGGCAACAAGGTTTGCGGAAATTGGATCACAATTATGAGCACTTCTTGCCATATGCACTTCGTTTTTCCATAAACAGTTCAGCTTGTGTTTGTATTTCATCAAGAATGGCAAACAGTCCAGCCATGACGCGAATCCCATGGCCCCTAAGCGAGCAAGCCGAAAGCCGCAGCCGCCGCACCGGCAGCCGCAATGAGACCAATGTCCTTGTGCTGAGAAACGGCAGCCCCGGCACTGGTGTGGGCGGCCGAAGTAGTAGACGAGGTCGCGGAGCCAGTGGTAGAAGTGGTAGAACTGGTTGCAGTTGCAGCGGTCTGGGAGGTGTTGGTGGAAGAACCAGAAGTGCTTGTGGAGGATTCAGAGGATGTGCCAGTGGCAGATTGAGTTGCGTTTGCGCAGCTGGGAGACTGAGGTATGTTGGTCACACCGGCGGTTTTGCATATCTGGTTCGCAAATTGGACGGCGGCTGTGGGAAAGCATGGGTGAGCGTCTTCTTCTTCTGTAGTATAACGTAGAGGAGGAGAATCAAGGGTTATGTGGTTCCGAGAACAGCAAGAACGAGAACTTACCCTGCTGCTGGTCTTGAGGGCATGATTTGAGAATGCAGCACGAAATACCCGAAAGGAAGGACGAGTCGGTGCAGATGCACTTCACGTCAAGACCGCAGCTGGCGGGGATGGAACCCGTCGCGCATGATTTCTATCTCATGTCATTAGTAATGTGTATCAATCTCTCTGCACAGAAGAACAACTCAGTAGAATTTTGGACACATAAATGAGAGGCAACACTTACAGCACAATCAGGCAGACCGTCAAGGCCCTGGGCAGCTGCCATGCTCAGGCAAGCCGCAAGAGCAAGGGAGACAGAGTAAAGCTTCATTATGAGGACTTGGCTGGGATGCTCAATTGATTGAAATCGTGGTAAGAACTTAGGCTCAAGACGGGCTTAGAGTAAGATCTGTTGGGAGAATTCTGATGAAGGTGTAGAAGAGTTGGCGAGGGGACAAGGTCAGAAAGAGTGGAAACAAGATGGAGTAGGTGGTAACTGGCGCCACGATGATCTTCCCCAGCAGGCCGATGAACTCTCTGATGGTTAGTCTGTTTTCTACGGAGTAAGTCTAGTTTCTTCCAGTTTTCCATTGCTTTCCCCACTCCAGGTGCGATTGATTAAGCCTTCATACCTTTGGTCGAATTGAACTACTAATTACTGCTCGAGACACCTCGTTATTCGTACCTATTGGAGTTATCCTTATGGTTGTTCATCTGCAATAATTAAGTTACTGCCCAAGTGGATATGTAGCTTTTCGCATTCCTTTTTGTTGTTTTCTGTTGTTCAAAGGTATCTTCTAAACTCTATCATTTATGGCTCTGGAACACGGTTTCTACAGTACCTTACTTGTATGACACATGGGCCTGCTCTTTGTGGGAAATTTTTTTGGCAGATTAATAGCTAAGACCAGCCTGTCACCGTTCATCATGAGAAACACACTGAGAATGCATGTAAAAGACTGTCACTGAGTAGAAAGTCCCTGAGTCTTCCCTTAAATGTTATGACCCCATCCTCCTGCTCTGGAACCCTGGCTCGCCATGGTTAAGGTTTGGTTATGCACTACCTTTACCTTCCGTCCAAGTGTCCAGCGAATGGTCAAAAAGTATTTAGTCCCTTCAGCTCGGTCCCCACCAGTCGCCTTTTTTTGCTCAAAAATCTGGCACATCCCCGAATTTTATTTAGCCATCAGCCTATCAGGGAGCCGTGAAATCGCTAGCCTGGACTGCTGGACAGCTGGACAGCTGGAGGCACCAAGCCCGAGGTTTCTCCCTCTCCCGGACTTCCCAGCCGCTCCACCCAACATTGTCCCAGGCTCAGACCCTGTTCCCTCTGTCCTTGACCACCTGACTGGGAAACATATACTCCGTAGACTACCAGATTCCTAGACCAACTTGACAGAGGATTATTCTTGTCAAGGCTCAAGTGAAATGTCTTTAGGCTCATTGCTTTGCTTTAATAGCCCACACCACCTTTTCTGATGGTCATCGCTGAACTCATAGCTGCAAGGAGCATCTGTTGCGGCCCATGTTTTGGCTTCACTCAAAATGTAAAACATGTATTGGTATCTCGGAGTATCCTAGCGTACCTTACATTGCCCAATGATAAGTAGGTATTTTTGGCATTCTGCAAAGGAATGCTGTGCTACCTTATTGATCCACGATATCTGGGAATAGTAGAGTGTCGTGGCTTAGAGACCTAGGCTCTGGGTATCAAATATCAATATCATAATAAATCATAAGGTACAGCAAAGACAAGCAGGCAATACCTAGTTCTATGGTGATCCCCATGGCTGGGCAAAGCAAGTCTCTAACAGCTCACAGTGGTATCAGGTGATCCTGCGCAAGCTCTGTAAACAGTCGCGCCCATAAATCCAGTCCCTCATGCCCCTGCTGATCGACACTGCAGAGGATTCCCTGGCGTTTTGTCTTTTGAAGAATCAATATCTCATAAATGCAGCCACCTCCTGTGACGTAGACGCGTCACCCTCACAATAATTCTAAGATAGACAGCTTAATCTAGGCTCTTACTCTCGCCTCGGCAGAAATTTCGTATTCATTAACCAAACTCCTTACTCTATAATTTCAGTCATTATAATGTGTATCACAACCACTGTTGGCCGCTGATTCATGCCTCTAGCCAGGCACAAGCCCATGTTTTACCTCCGTAATTTTATCTACCTATTTGTTCGCCCCCGCCACAAGTCAGTGAGCATTGCTTTGTTTGGCATACCTTCAGCCCCTCACTCCCAATCAACATGGGTCTAGGTGTGCTCGAGGACAAGGTACTCGACCATGTCCCTGGTAAGTACTCTGGTCTACATTTTTACAGAAAGACTTGTACAATCGGAACCACTGTTTTTGATACATTCTGGCTAGGCACATCCTATATCCTCGAGGATCGAACGAGTGATCATACCGCTCTCGATTCGCGCCTCAAGTACGATCGCTCAGGCGACGTTCCTATACTTCTGGTACCACAGCCAAGCGACGACCCGAACGATCCTCTGGTAGGTAAAAGACAGGTACAATTGGCAAAGCTCGATACTGAGAACCGCCGCTAGAATTGGCCGTTATGGAGGCGCGATATAATCCTATTCGCGCTTTGCTTCGTTTCAGTCCTTTGTGCAACAACTAGCTCGCTCATGGCTGCCAACACTGTGACCATTGCTCTTCACTATGGGAAGAGTTTCACGTCCGTTGCTCTCCTCACTGGCTACCACCTCTGTGGTGTGGGTGTCGCTGGTGTGCTAATAGTACCGACTGCACGAGTATGGGGCAAGCGACATCTTTTCATCCTTGGAAATATTCTGATGGTCGTGAGCTGCGCATGGGCTGGGGGAAGCGGCCAGAATTATCAGAGCCTTCTCTGGGCCCGGATCTTCCAAGGAGTCGCACTGGCTCCATTCGAAGCTTTGACAAATGCCTGTGTTGGTGATCTATTCTTTGTTCATGTAGGTTCCAACTGCGCTACCTCACGGATTTCGACTGACCATTACGCCAGGAACGGGGCAAGCGGATGGCCTTATCGAATGTTGCCGTCTTCGGCGCCGCCTTCCTCACACCGGTTTTGGCTGGCAAGATCACACATTCGCTTAGTTGGCAATGGACGTTTTACCTAGTGGCGATATTTACCGCTGCTTGTCTGCCCATGACAATCTTCCTAATACCCGAGACGGCTTTCAGACGCGCCGACCACTTTAACACAGACTTTGAGCATCTCGACGACCGTCGTGATGAAAGCCAGTCACATACGCAACTGCAGCCCACCGGATATGCGACTTCTGAAGTGAGCCAAATCTCTGGAGAGCAGAAGCAATCCGTACCTGGGACCAACGAGAAGCCGCAAGGAGAGTCCTCTCGAGGAGAAGATGGCGCCTGTCAGGAACCTACGATTCCTCGCAAGGCCACGTACTGGGAAACTCTGAAGCTTTTCAATGGACGCAAGACAGACGAGAACTTTTTCAAACTGCTTTTAAGACCATTTCCTCTATTCTTCCATCCTGGCATCCTCTGGGTAAGTCCTCTCTTCTCCCACAGTTCATATGGGAGGGCTATTTCTGACTGCTACAGGCTTGCTTGATACAAGGTGTTATCATTGGTTGGACTGTCTTCATCGGTGTCGTCCTGGCTGCCATCTTCCTGGGCCCTCCTCTATGGTTCAACGAGGTGCAGACAGGATATCTCTACACAGGCGCCTTCATCGGCTCTATCTTAGGCCTGATACTGTCTGGCCTACTGTCAGATTCGTTGAACAAGGTCATGATAAAACTCAACAAAGGCAAATACGAACCCGAGTTCCGTATTTTGCTAGTTATCTTCCAACTGATCTTCAGCGGCGCTGGTCTCTACGGGTTTGGGATTGTGGCAGAGGACGTGAACCGATATGGGTGGCTTGTGCCGGACGTCTTCTTTGCCTTTGTCATCATCGGAATGGTCATGGGTGCCGTCGCGAGCGCCTTGTACATTGTCGATGCACACCGTGAGTTGAAACCTTCTTCCTACGATAAAGCCTGCGGAAAGTGTTGCTGATGACGTTTGATACAGGTCAAATCGCCGTTGAAGCGTTCACGTGCTTATTGATCTTCAAGAACATATTCAGTTTCGTTCTGACATTTTTCGCATATGACTGGCTCATAGCACACGGGATCAGACCGGCATTCCTAGCTATCTCCAGTATCCAGATGGGTGTCTGTCTCTTGAGCATTCCCATGTGTGAGTGTTCCTTCCGAGCTACTCGAAGCTTTTGCATCTGCAGCTAACTAAGCCACTCAAGATATTTTCGGGAAACGAAATCGGTCATTCTTCACGCGTTACAACATTTTGAAGAAGCTGCATCTCTGGTAATCCTTGGCGGATCATTTACGATAGAACGAGAGTAATGCCTGCGCGATGTCATTTTATTAAACCCTACTGAGTCGCCATGTGCCCGCACTACACTAATTTTAATCTGTCAATCTGAAGCCCTTGTTTCGAGTATTATTAGCACCTCCGGTTAATGTGTAAAATAAGCACTCGAACGAAAAGCGGCGTGCATCCGAATCTATTCCTCAATCGAGCGGTTTCGCTTGTGAAACCAACGTAGAACAGACGGTTAAGTCTGGAAACTGCCAAGAATGAAAGATAGTGGAGACAATCCATCTGCAGGGACGGTTAGCTTAGATATAGAATAATAGAACACTAGTGAGATCTTCGTCATGGTCGAAAACGGAAGAGAGGCGAGACAGGAATGTGAACGTGGGATGGAAGCATCATGACTCGACCGCGAGACACCGTCGACACAACCAGCCTGAGTTTGAAAGAGCGTGTAACACTCTTCTTCTTCTCTTTCTAAACTTCATCGCAAGTTAGATTCAATTCATACGTCGACATCATGACATCAGCGAGGTGAGTTATCGACGAAGCTCAATGCTTGATCGATGATCGTTGAGAGGTAACATCCGTGGATTGGCCCTCTGCAACCGACGTCACAGACGACACACTCGTTTTCTCGACTCTCTTCCCTTAAGCTTCCGGCTGGTTCATCCCACTGGTCGTCACCACTATTGTCTCTGCCACCGACCAGATCTCTTTTTCATCATCGTCTTCCCTTCCTTCTTCCTTTTCCTTTTGACTTACTTCCATCGGGAATGCCTGTATCCGCCGTCCTTTCATACTCCCCGCATCACGGCGCCGATCTTATCTTATCATGGCTACTACTGAGTCTCATCCTGGAGTCCATCGAGTCTCCATCCAGCGTTCCCGGTCTGCCCGGCTATCTGATCAAGGTAAGTCCTGGATGAATATCTTGCACTTTCGTTTGATGAAAAATCATTTCGTTGACTCGATTATTCGACAGCTGCGACAGCTGCACTCTACGTGACACACCCCGAGCGTAGACTGTCCGTTCGAGAACCCGCTACCTTTGAATCGCAACTATTCAGTGAGAAATAACCGCCGGATCCCCGGAGATGATCTTAGAATTGTTACTGACGCCGTGTTTTCATATGACAGGAGATCCGAAAGCGACGGGCTCGCTCAACCTCAGCCATGCATCAGCGAGCGCTGCTCTTGCCCATGCGAGGAGTCATCACAAAAATTTAACACCTGACAGGCCCGGCGCAGTAGGATATCAGACTCAGGACACACGGACTGCTGGGGCGCCCGGGGCTCGACCGAGCCCGGAAGGGTACAAAGCCGCCATTACCGCAGTTAGAGACCGGAGAGCCATCACGAGCCTTCCTCCGGTGACCACTGGTTTTAAATATGACATCTCGACGACATCCGACCAAGTCTATGATAACCAGCGGGAGAGCTTGGACAGGGACAAGGCACTTCGTGCTGCTACCGGCGCGTACCGAATCAGCAGGAAGAGGGCCGACTCCGCACCCAGCAAACCTATAATGGCTCGTGAAGCGCCTTATGCTGCTTCAGCGGCTAGCAGTGTGAAGCCTGCGCCAGAAGTGGAAGACCCACTTGCACATATTGACAGCTCAGCGGAAGCCAGCAGGATTCATCACATGGCTAATGCCAACGCGCAACTTTACACTGAGCACCCTCCTGTTGGTCTCGAGGAGCAAGACCGAAAGAACGTGCTTCGAGCTGCTGCTATCTCGATGGCGCGCGATATGTACGACAGTACGGAGAAAAGAGAGGAAGCACTGACTGGAGAGCCCAGCGCAGCCCTCTACGGTGCTCAGCGAGGCCTCAGCCGCATGCGCTCCCAGCAAACCGTTCCCAAGTCTGATCCAGCGGCCCTTAAGCAGGCTATTAAAGTACAGGAAGCGGCTCAACAGCGGGCTGCGGAGAAACTGGCTAAACTCAATGAGCCAACTTATCAGGAATACTATGGGGTTGAACCTCATGTTCCGCGGCCCACCCTGTCTATCCGTCGCAGGAGAGCGTCCTTCGACTCGGACACATCAGCTGCTGATGCCGAGCGATCAAGGGAGATCAGGCACCAGATGACTAGCCTTCGATCGCGGCTCGATGCTGTGGATGAACAAAGAACGAAAGACCGTGCCAGCTTGATGGAGGCCGCAAGGCGAAATGTCAATGCGACCATCCAAGATATGGAGATGCGTGTCTACCACGAAACAGGCCGGCCTCCGCCATCGATGCAGAAAGAATGGGAGGAGACCGCACTTGAGCGCGCCCAACGTGAGGTTCAGGAACAAGAGCCTGACCGACCATACGACAGAGTCAATATTGGCGCTGAGAGATACATGGATATGGCCGACGTAGAGGCGGTCGCCCGTTCGAGGCTTCAGCCAACCTTCGATGAGATTACGGATCGTGCCGAGAAGGAGAGGGCCAGGGAATTGGAGGCTCGTCTGGATGCCGAAGAACAGAAGCGATATGAGGCCATTGCGCGTGAGCGGGAGCTTGATACGATGGCTGAGGAGAAACGCCAGCGAGGTATGTTGAGCCGCTCGAATTCTTGACTTCAGACAAGCTCATACAGAGGCAGAGATTCAAAAGCAGCAGATGAAGGAGAAAGCTACAGGAGAAAAGACATGGCTCTGGAGAAGGAAGTCGAAGCGAACACGAGACACTGAACAAAGGCCTTCGGCTGAGGAAGAGATTGATCATCACGCGGCCGGTGGAGTGGCACCTGTGCCTCAGCCTGAAGCTGCACCTCAGCCCACCACTCCTCCAGTTGAGGCTGCATCTCAGGTGGAAGCTGCCCCTGAGGCTGAAGCTCCTAAGGCCGAAGCTCCCCAGGCCGAAGCTGCCCCTGAGGCTGAAGCTCCTAAGGCCGAGGCCCCCCAGGCCGAAGCTCCCCAGGTCGAAGCTCCTCAGGTTGAAGCTCCCCAGGCTGAAGCTCCCCAGGCCGAAGCCCCTCAGGCCGAAGTCCCCCAGGCCGAAGCTCCTCAGGTTGAAGCTCCCCAGGCCGAAGCTCCCCAAGCTGAACCTGCTACTACTGAAGCTACTACCGAAGCCGAGGCACATCCCGAAGCGCCACCGGGCATTATCGACACTACCCAACCCCAGCCTGCTGAGGATGAGGAGAAGATCGTCGCGCCAGGGGCCGCCGGAGAGGAAGGACTTCCGCTTGAGCGACGGGGATCTAGACTCAAAACTTGGTTCAAAGGCCGGGTGGGTCGCCGGTCTAATGGCGTGGAACGTGAGTCTCCACGAGAGACAGAAGTCGATGGAGCAAGAAACCCAAGCACAGGGTTCGCTGGAGGTGCGGCGCTGGCGGGGACGGATTCACGCGGTGCGGCACTCCGATCTCATCCTGTCACAGGCAATGATCTTGCCACGATGCAGCAGAGAATGTCTGTTGACGAAGGCAGTTTAGGAAACGAGGCTACGCGGCATGGGTCAAGCGGCATAGCTGAGCAGCATGGTGAGAACAGGAAGCCATCACGCCTGAGATCCAGCTTCATGAAGATTGTGTCTGGCGGTTCGCAGGATAACAAGACGAACGGTGTATCGAAGCCAAGTGATGATCGACGAACTGCTTCAGAATCTGCAGAAGAGAGTGGCGTTCGTAACCCTGAAGGCTCCAACGCATCCACCGCCACAAAAGAAGAACTGCGAGAGAGCGCCGCTGATCACGGACTACCTGTGCCTCCAGCCATTGGCAAGCATGCCACCAACGGTAGTCGTGAATCGCGATTCTCCGAGGACTTGTGATGCAATCTGCCTTTGCGCACTGATATGTAACATCTGCCTTCTTGTATCTGTAATGGCCGAGCTTTGGGTCTTGCCTTTCTATACCTCGTGTCTTCTCCTTGGGCGTTCTATTGGGAGGAATGTTTTCGGGCGTCGTGGTCTGGTTATCGGGGAGGTCAAAATTTGGGGACTAATTGGGGGTTCAACGTTTCTGGCGCAATCTGTTCTAGTGACTTTAGTTATTGGTACATATTTCATGAAGTTTCAATGATATTTCTGTTATACGAGTGACGTTTTCTCTAGGAGTTGGAAGAAATGACAGCTGTCGAAGGTTATGGCGAGAGCATAATCATTCCATCACCTTTCTTTCGATTGGAACGGCTTACATTCATTCAATCTTCCGCGTCAAATCGAGAAGAATAGATGAGAGATATACCGAATAAAAACAGCAGACGAACTCATTTCGTGAGGTCTCTCATTGTCGAAATGTCTTATTCCCCCCCACAATTTCTCTCCCGAGACTTTTTCTCTCCCCCGCATTCATAGATTAAATCCTACCCAAGACAACCATCACCACCCAATCGCGCTCGTCCGTCGATCTTCCCCTGCTTTCATCGGAGAAAAGGAGCGTGCATGCTTGTTAGCTTCATCAAGCCGGCTACTACTCAATCACGAACATCCACCAATCCCTACACAGCACCGGAGTAACACTGTCACGAAAACCCGAAGATGGTCGCCGCGTCCTTCAGTCCATGCGACCTTTTTATTGTCGTGGAACCTGTCCCCCATTTCGCAGCTATGGACAAGGATAGTCGTCTCAACTGCACACTGGCGCAATTGACGAGGCGAATATGCGAGTCTTTAGCTTCCTGCTTCTGCTCCTTCTGGGTATCCTGACGGGTGATGGTTTGGTGTCAGGAACGGACAATGGCAAGACCACCGACGTGACATGGGACAAGTACAGTCTGTCCGTCAAGGGGCAGAGACTGTTTGTCTTCTCGGGTGAATTCCACTACCAGAGACTTCCTGTGCCGGAGCTGTGGTTGGATGTCTTTCAGAAATTGCGGGCCAATGGCTTCAATGCCATCTCAGGTATGAGCCTTATCCTGCATTATGCTCGGGTGAGTCCTACAGGGGACTAAAAGGGTGGGTTAGTGTACTTCTTTTGGAGCTTCCACAGCGCCTCGGAGGGCGAATTCGACTTTAAGACCGGAGCCCATGATATCCAGCGGTTGTTCGATTACGCCAAAGAAGCGGGTTTGTATGTGATCGCAAGAGCCGGCCCGTACTGCAACGCAGAGACCTCCGCTGGTGGGTTTGCCCTTTGGGCGGCGAACGGCCAGATGGGTAATGAGCGGACGAGCGATGAGGCATACTACGAAAAATGGCGGCCGTGGATCTTGGAGGTCGGCGAGATCATTGCGAAGAATCAGATCACCAACGGTGGGCCTGTGATTCTCAACCAACACGAGAATGAGCTCACGGAGACGACGTACAATCCGAACAACACCCTGGTTGTCTACATGGAACAGATTGCGCAGGTGTTTGAGGAGGCTGGGATTGTTGTTCCAAGCTCCCACAATGAAAAGGGCATGCGAGGCGTCAGCTGGTCGACAGACTATCACAACATAGGAGGCGCGGTCAACGTTTATGGCTTGGACTCGTACCCTGGTGGCCTCTCGTGCACGAATTCCAACACTGGATTCAAACTCGTGCGGACGTACTATCAATGGTTCCAGAACTACTCCTTCACGCAACCCGAGTATATACCCGAGTTCGAGGGTGGGTGGTTCCAGCCCTGGGGCGGGTCTTTCTATGACACCTGCGCCACGGAGCTGTCGCCGGAGTTTCCTGATGTCTATTACAAGAACAACATCGGCTCTCGGGTGACAATGCAGAGCATCTACATGACATACGGCGGAACCAACTGGGGCCACAGCGCCGCTCCAGTCGTGTACACCTCCTACGACTATGCCGCTCCTCTCCGCGAGACTCGAGAGATTCGCGACAAGTTGAAACAGACCAAGCTTATTGGCCTCTTCACCCGTGTGTCAACCGACCTCTTGAAGACCTATATGGAAGGGAATGGCACTGGCTACACTAGCGACAGTAGCATCTACACTTGGTCGCTTAGAAACCCCGACACAAACGCCGGATTCTACGTGCTTGCACACAGCACCAGCTCATCTCGCGATGTGACTACATTTTCCCTCAACGTCACCACCTCTGCCGGTATGCGCTCGCATGCAGACTCTGCAGACTCTTCTTGACTTGTTGCTAACCGGACTTAGGTGCCATCTCCATCCCCGACATCGAACTGAACGGTCGCCAGAGCAAGATTATAGTGACCGACTTCAATTTCGGGGATAACTCGACTCTCCTGTTTTCATCTGCTGAAGTCTTGACGTACGCCAACCTCGATGTAAATGTCCTTGTCTTCTACTTGAATGTGGGCCAGAAGGGGACCTTCGTGTTCAAGCATGAACCAAAGCTCGCCTTTCAAACATACGGCAATAGCAACATCACTGCTGCAGAGTCTAGCTACGGTACGCAGTATTCCTACACGCAGGGAGAGGGGGTCACTGCGGTGAAGTTCTCCAATGGTGTGTTGGCCTACCTACTTGACAAAGAATCTGCCTGGAATTTCTTTGCGCCTCCGACCACGTCAAGCCCGCAGGTTGCGCCCAACGAGCACATACTGGTTCAAGGACCGTACCTGGTTCGCGGGGCTTCCATCAACCACGATACCGTGGAGATCACTGGTGACAACGCAAACACCACATCTATTGAGTGAGTAAAACTGCTGGGCTTTCCGGCCCTTGTCATGAGAGAGACTGACCGTAAGACAGAGTGTACGCTGGTGACGCGCAGGTCAAGAAAGTCAAATGGAATGGGAAGACAATCAAGACAAGAAAGACTGCGTACAGAAGTCTGACCGGAACTGTACCTGGAGCGGAAGATGTTAAGGTTTCACTTCCTTCGTTGGACTCCTGGGAGGCCCAAGACACTCTTCCGGAAATCCAGCCGGATTACGACGATTCCAAATGGACTGTTTGCAACAAGACCACCTCGGTAAATGTGATTGCTCCGCTCTCTCTCCCCGTTCTCTACTCGGGTGACTACGGCTACCATGCGGGCATCAAGGTCTACCGTGGTCGTTTCGATGGGCGCAACGTAACCGGCGCGAATGTGACTGTGCAGAACGGCGCAGCCGCTGGGTGGGCAGCGTGGGTGAACGGGGAGTATGCCGGCGGATCCGCGGGTAGCCCTAGCCTTGCTGCGACGTCGGCTGTCCTTACTTTCAACAGCTCCTCGCTCAGGAATAGTGACAACGTCCTCACAGTGGTCACGGATTATACCGGCCATGATCAGAACAGCGTGGGGCCAAAGGGAACACAAAATCCGCGGGGGATCCTGGGCGCCACGTTGATTGGAGGGGGCAACTTTACATCTTGGCGCATTCAGGGCAACGCAGGTGGCGAGAGGAACATTGACCCGGTACGTGGCCCGATGAACGAGGGCGGACTGTATGGTGAGCGCATGGGCTGGCATCTGCCCGGATACAAGGTGCCCAAATCCGCGTCAAAGAGCAGCCCTCTAGACGGGGTATCCGGAGCTGAGGGTCGTTTCTACACGACCACGTTCAAGTTGAACCTCGATAAAGACCTGGATGTCCCCATCGGACTCCAGCTGGGGGCCCCCGAAGGCACACAGGCGGTAGTCCAGGTCTTCATGAACGGATATCAGTTTGGCCATTACCTCCCCCATATCGGACCGCAGAGTCTCTTCCCCTTCCCGCCAGGTGTGATCAACAACCGCGGGGAGAACACGCTGGCGATCAGCATGTGGGCGTTGACTGATGCGGGAGCGAAGCTGGACAAGGTGGAGCTGGTGGCGTATGGAAAGTATCGCAGCGGGTTCGACTTCAATCAGGACTGGAGCTATCTGCAGCCGGGCTGGAAAGACCGAAGCCAGTATGCATGAAAGGCCGCTGTCAGAAAGCCGGTTGGTAGCTTCTGGGAATGGGTTGCTGCAGTCTGGCCAGAGTCTTAGAGCACGGGAGTTGTAGATATTCGTGGGAGTATCTAGACTGTCATGGAGACAAAGAAGTGGATTAAATCATTTCGACAATTCGACTCCATATCCAGCGATTCATCCGGAGTAGAAGCCGTCGGGCCGTGACTAGTGCCTTTTTTCCTGGCTTTTTCCTTCTCCACCGCCAGTTTGAGGGGATCCGCATAGTATGCTTAATCCTGACTCCTCTGTCCAATCAATCAATTGCATCGTTCTGTCTGTCAGTCTGTCAGTTTGTCTTGTACCTTCCTTCGTCCTGATCCTCATTCTCATCCTCGTCCTCGTCCTCGCCCTCGTCATCATCTTAATTCTCATCTTCATCTCCGCAGTCTCTCGTTCTTCTGACCTAGTTCCGTCAGTTTATTGCTTCATCCGTCTATTTCTGTCATGGACACTGTATAAGACTGTAGCCTGCCTGCCCACTACCGATAGTAACCCGTCTTATTGTCTTGAACCTCGCTTCCGGTCGTTGATCCTGATTGATGGGTTAATCAAGTCACTGCTTGGATTTTGTTCTCGTTTTATCTATGATACCCATATTCGTTTCGCCCTTCTTAAACAATTTGGGCTTGCCCTTTCCCTTTATCCGTCATCTCAGCAATCGCCATGACCACCAATCTCCCCCGCCAATCCAGCATCGATCTAGACTCGGCCGATCGGCCCTTCGACAATATCATCAACTTTCGCGATGTCGGACGCTCGATCAATCAATTGATGGGATCTCGGTATGTCTTATATTGCCTTGTCATCAATTGCATTTGCTGACGGTATATGGCATGGCTGTGCAGCATCTTAAAAGAAGGTGTCCTTTTCCGAAGTGCAAGGGTGCGCATGAGACTTGGGATCTATTGTCACTGATTCATTGCTAACAAACAACAGCTAGACGATGCCTCAGAACGAGATAGACGGCGCCTAGCCGAAGAGCTACACATCTCAACCGTCCTGGATCTGAGATCGATGTATGGATGGCAAAGCGGGGCCATAGATGCATACTGATGCTGATGCTGACACTGACAGGACCGAACACGAAATGGCCACTCGGAAACTTCGCGGCGAGGATGCTCTCAACCCAGAGCAAGTGTCTCTCCCTCCTACGGAGGCAAACGAGCATCTCATGGAGATCCCCGGTGTGCAACGGTCCCTGATCAGTCTCACGGGCAGAGCGTTCGAACGGGCCCTACTATGGCGCTTGGACTGGTATAACCTCATGTATGCGCCCCCGCCCCCGCCCCCGCTTCTGCCTCTGCCTCTGCCACTTGATGTGCAGCTATTGATATGTACAGACGAGTCCTCGCCCTCGTAGCCTCGGGCTACCGCACCGAAGCGGTCACCATCGTGGGCCAGCAGGTCATGGCGCCGCGGGGCCTGATCGGGCTCGGCCAGGACACGCTGGACAGCAGCACGGCGGAGATCCGCGAGATCTTCGAGCTGCTGGTGTCCCCCGCCGCGTACCCGGTCCTCGTGCACTGCACGCAGGGCAAAGACCGCACGGGTCTGATTGTGCTTCTGCTTCTGCTCCTTGTGCCGGAGGTGTCGGCGGATGCGATCGCGGCGGACTACGTCAAGTCGGAGCCGGAGCTGGTCGTCGAGTTCGAGGAGCGCATGAAGGAGATCCGCGTGCTGGGCTTGGATGAGGAGTATACCAAGTGTCCGCCGGGGTTTACGCAGCAGATCCGGGCGCATCTGGATGCGAAATACGGCGGGGTTGAAGGGTATCTGATGTCTGTTGGGATTGATCGCGACAAGCAGGAGTTGATCAGGCAGCGGTTGCTCGCATAGCCTTCAGTCTCTTTCGTTTATTTCTATCTGACGATGGATGTACATTTAGCTGGGATATCATATTTGTAATTACGGGTGGATAGCATGCATGGATTCTAGATTTTAGCAACTTCGGACAAACGAGCAATTATATAATTAAGGCGTTGTGTGTATAGCCATGGACAAGCAACCATTAGACACCAAGGTATCTCCATCTAACATGTTCAATGCATTGTTGTACAACCAGCAACATATCAAATCAAATTAAGAAAAAGGCTATCATCAATGTGTATCGTGATTATCGTCAAGAACGCCGGTTTTAGTAACCAGTAGAGCGCTGCCCGCGGTAGTAGTTGGCGTTGGGCCCGGTAGAATCCGTCGTCAGGGGCTCCTCAACCACGTAGCCTCCATTGGCACCGTTGCGGTGAGGATGAGGAGCATTGGGGCCCTCATGGGCCATTTCGAGGCGCTTTTCACCTTGAGGGATGTGGCGACGCGTTCGCACAGAGGGTAGGAGATCGACCACAAAGGAGAGTATGTACCCGGTGAAAACGAAAGCAATAACTGCGGATATTAGCATCGAGAAATAATCGAGACGGGAATTCAGGGCATACCCCATTCCAAGACAGCGGCCACGTTTTTCTTGCCAGAGTTGCGGCGAGTGAAGATACCAAAGGCAATCGCCAGTGCGACCTCAATAATCACAAACGCGAGTTTGATCAGAAAGCTCGCGAACAAAATACGATGCTGCGAGCGATAGAAGATTCCCAGCCACAGATACTCGATGCAGATGAGCAGCGCGCTGACCAGGTATCCGACACTAAAAGTAATTAGTAATTTAGTTCTGTAAAGCGCAAAGATGCCGCTTACATGAACATGACCAGGAATCCATCGTGATAATGCGGATGATGCAGGGTATCGTAGCACGAGAGTAGGATCAATCCCAGTGCGCCAGCGACCGCGAAGAATATCGAGGCGACAGCGCAGAACTTGTCAAACCAGCCCCTGTTCGGCACCAACTGCCCGGAGTGCCGCAGCCAGCGTTCTGAAACGAAGGACAAATCCAAGAAGACAACGGTGATGACGCTGCCTGTGATGAACAGAGGTTTCAACCCCTGCGCTCCAATGTCAGATATATATCTATCATCCTTTGTCAGCGTCAAATGAACGGAAAGCGCAAGCGAAAGCACGAAATGACATACGCAATGGTTTGTCCGGCTTCCATACTGGGGTAGATAGGCGTCCCGATAACAGCCCAGTTTCCCAGCATCGCAAGCAGCGTGGCTACACAAAACTTCAAGTTAGCATCAATTTGACCAGTTCGGGGGACAGGAATCCCTACCAAGCCACATGCAAGCCGATATCACCGGAAAGATCCAAAATGACATAATCCACATGTTGTTATGCTGATCTTTTATTGGTTGACGGCTTTGTTTCGATCAAGATGTCGACGTCGGTGACACAATTTGAGAATTAGGACGGACAAGTTCGATCTCAAAAAACGACAGCCGCTCTGCTCTCTGCTATGGCAAATACCACAACACATATCGATCAGTTCAAGCCATCCTTCACTTTAAATGGGAATCGGGATCGGGCGCACCGGATACAGCGGATGTGGCTTAGATCAACTCACAGGATGTGGAAAGCTTGGCTTTGACGAATACTTTAGGCAGCGGTAAATGTAATAATGCGCGGATGACGACAATCCCTCCAATTGACTCTATGGCTGTTTGGTGTATCCCTACCTCTCGTAGTTCTGCTGGCTATTTGTGGCTCAGTGGTAACGAGGGAACAAGGGATGGGGATGAGCAAGGCAGTGGTTCAATCAAGGATGGATTAACGAATATGGTGACAGCCTAGCAGCAGCCTGAGGTCAAAGGGAAGTTAGAAAGGTAAAGGGAGGAAGAAAAAGCCAACAGAACGGTCCTTGGATACTCTGCACGCTGATCATAAATATTCATCCTCTCTGTTTATTAATATCCCGAAGGAATCAGGAATGATTTCACCACTCAGTCAGTCCATCGACGTCATCGGGCAGAGCCATTGTAGATCTCCCGGAATGCAACCGAAGGACTAGAACAGTGCTGTGCACCTTTCTATTATTATGATCCATTATTGTCGTTCATAAAGCAACTCGAGCTCGTATCGGTTCCTCTCCTCCCTGCTGTCGACTACAGCATCTTGTCGAACATCTTGGCTGTGCTCCGTAGATTACTCGTGCTATACGAAGAGTGCACAGAGCAGGCAGCAAGTATCACCTTCGGGTCCGCAGTCTCAGCCACAAACTACTCGATTCTTATGACTCTGAATTTTCTACCGTTCGCAAATCCTTGTCAATTATCCTGATAGCCATCTATCCTGCAGTTGCACGCCCTTCCATACCTTGCCTGCACAGCTGCCATGTGCACGAATTGACTCGGGATCCCATTCCGGTTACACGATACTGTTACTACCACCAGGGGGCTATTGTTCCACGGCTCCGCTCCATCACATAGTCTATTGTCTTAGAATTAATCAGAACTGAAAATTAATGTAACCTTTACCCAAGTCACCGCTCTAGTTCAGAACTCCATACGTTTTTGTTTGCCAAATACCCACTGGGCCGCCCCAACCGAAACACACAAGGGACACAGAAAGGCACAATCCATCGGGGGCGTCTCCACCAGATAAGGAAAAAGGAAATGAAGGGGCACAGAGCGGGAGTATGTATGTATGCTTTCAAGAACGACGAGACCGTGGGGGAACTGCCCTCGCGCCGACCCCGCTGGCTGCAGCAGGCCGACTCTGAAGACCAGTTGGAACTCTTCGTCGCACCACCTCGACAATGTGTATCTTGTCACCGTCATTGTCGGATTCACTGTCGTCTTCGTCACTTTCGCTACTCGAATCGCCCCTGGCCGAATTTGAGGGCGCATGCTGACGACTCAGCGGTTGGCGATCGCCAAGAAAAGTCCCAGGACTTGCCTGGTATGCCATATGGCCCGGATAGCTTTGAGATCCCGCACGGACGGTTGCGGAAGCATATGGTGCCTGGTACGGAGGCACCCACTGTGGCTCGTGAGGAAGGATGCGTGCATATGGAGGGTTCTGGAACGTCACTGGTGGAAGAGGGCTGGGGAAGGTGAGGGGAACATCCGACCGAAAATCGCGTGGAACGGATGAGTAAGTCGGCAGCCCCGACATTCGAGCTTGCGGGTTAGGCACGGTGGACGTTCGTGGTAGTACAGGAGAATGGTCCCTAGCCGAAGCGCCCGAAGCCCGCGCCCTCGACTCATACATCTCCTTCTTGTCGGTCACAAAGGTACGGGGTACGCTACCGTTTGGGGCGGTAGATCCATGCCGCATTGTCCGGAGATTTCCCAGTCCCCCATTTGTGGAGCTCTCTACTGGCCTCAGGGACCTGCTGTCGGTAGACGCTGCCTTGGGAACACTGTTTCTCTGTCCGACGTCTTCCATACCGCCAGTTTGCATCCGTTTTCGTTCGAGGGCGTCCAACTCCCGTTGCGAAAGTCGTACATTATTCTGTCCCAGTATCTGCGCGCGCCGTATCCGTTCCAGGGCCTTGTCTACCAGCCACTCTTCATCGTCTTTCATCGCTAATTGCACCGCATATGCCACCGTGCTGTCCGAATCATCATACAGATCAAAGTCTATGCCGTCGACCGAGTGCACATCGTCAGCAGATCTGTCGTGATCCTCATTGCGCCTCGGCCACCCAATCCTCCGCTGTTCAGCAGCATACAAAGCGCGACCACGTCGCAGAAGATAGTCCTCCTCAGCCCCGCTGTCAATCTCCTGAATCCGCTCATTATTAGTATCCATCCACTGAGCCGCCTGTCTCCCGCTGGATCTCCCCACTCGTGCCCCCGGTGGTCTTCCCCATCGGGGCATACCGTAAGGAGCTCGCGGCCGACCACCTAGACCGCCTCCTCGGAAAAAGCATTCTCGATTGGTTTATCCATAAATGCGGCATGACCGAAGACAGTCACGCCAGTGGCGCCGATCAGCCAGAGCGCAGTGGCTATGGGGGAAGCATAAAGTCCCAGAGGAACGGCAACAATCAGCAGACCGGTGTATAGCTGAGAGGTAGTGAATCGGGCAAAGCCCAAATCAAGATCACGGCCCTGGAGCTTGCCAATTCCGTACAGACCACCAGCAACTAACAGGATGACAAGAAGCAACGACAAATTGGTCAGCAAGCTGTATATGCTGAGCATGACAAAGACCGCGGCATAGTTGCTCGAGAAATAGGCCAGGTTGTAGTTCACACGGCTTTGAACTTCGGCGAAGTTTGCAGGCTTCGAAATGCGCTTGACGTCCAGGAACTCCGAGATGGGTCGGAGGTTGGAGAAACGCGAGGTGAGAGATTGCGAGCGGACACTGTTGAAGCGATCACCGAATCGCGAGGTAATCGCGTCAATGGGGAACTGAATCGGACTCATTGTGAAATGGTTGACAGGATGATTTCCGGATGGAAATAAGTTCTGAAGTAGTAATTGACGGTCAAGGAGAAATCGAAGAGGATTAGGAGGCAAGAAGTAGACGTGAATCGAGTCAATGAGCAGAGGAGCAAGCAAAAGGGGTGAAATAGTCCAGGTAAAAGCTGACAGGTTTATCTGGCCGGAAGATATGAGGAAGCCTAGAGAGGTAAAGAGAGAAAAATCATTGGAACCTTCAGCCTAGCCCCGTTTGGTTCGTATTTTTGGTTCCGGCGTTGGAACAGGCACAAGGCACAAGGGGCTTAGCCTGGGCAAGTGGCGTCTTTAAGTCACCGCCGTCCAAGACTCCTTCACGGAGTAGACTGGATCCCTCAAGATTGAAGATACCTAGGGAAGCAAGGACTCTTGATTCTCCTCTAGTAATGCCTAGCCTTTTGATGATAGTGGCAGTCGTAACGGTGTGAGGTTACTTTTGACTCTGCTTCACACTTCCCAAGACCCTAATAATAGAAGTGGTCGGTGCCTGGAAGCGGCAGAGTCCGCAGTCTCAAACCGCTGGTGGATTCTGGGTCGAGACAACCAAAGCCGAACCGCGAACGAGAAATTGTAGAATCAGTGATGACAGGAAAACGGCAGAGGACAACATGACAAGATCCGAACTCTCGTTCGGATTAAGCCTCCTCCATGCTCAAACCCCTTTCCTCTCTAAACATAGCCTTGTCGGGTCTGCCAGCCGAAATAGATGCCTCAGGATGCCCGGTACATCTGTAGACCGGAGTACCTTAGGTAAAGACAAAAAAGAAGGGAGTCTACGAGACTACTCTGACAGGGAAATGCTTGCATTTAAACCCATTCTATCGTCTTGATGATGAATCATACCCATCGGATTCATCACATCTAGAATCAAGATGGCTGTCGAAACCCCTCATCTCCGTATTGGATTCATTTATCCCCATGCCTAAGGCTTCAATACCATCACCATTATTGGTCCACGTATTTTTCCCTCTGCAGAGTGGATCACACGTAGCCCTCAGCGATTTCGTGTCAGTGAAGTACTTGATGCCTTAGTAACGATCTACAGAGTAGGTACTTTCGAAGCGAAGCTGGCTTCATACGGAGTGTCTAGATAACTTCCTATACCCATTCAGGAAAATGTATCTTACCCTGTACAACTGTATTACCGCCGACCGCCTTTCGATGTATTGGATTGTGGACAGATCATAGTTTACCAAAAGCGGTAACTCTAAATTATGTGCAGTGCTCACTCCACCATTTCTCGACTTTTTGTCCGGATTCGTCTCCTGAGAAGAGTCAGGACTAGACTTCTATTTGATTATCTGTTCGGGCCATTGCGGCATTGACCGCTTCCCCTCTGTGCCCATAATGAAGCCTCTTGCTCTCCGCTTGTTTGTGTTCGCTGTTCTACTTGTTTTTGCTGCTGCTTGGACTAAAGAAGGTTTGTCTTTTTTTTATCCCCCTTTGTATCGCCCTCAATTTTCTTGCGAACAAAGAAATTTGTTGTATCAAGGCTAATACCGTTAAGATTATGAAATCTTCCGACTCAACGACGAGGTCACAGCCACTGAAGGAGCTAATGTGACCTTTTACGGTACGTCCTTCCCCTGTCTCTTCGACTGTGCATTCACATCTCATTCTCTCCTTTTCCTGATAGACTTCCTCGGTGTGAGTCCCAATGCCAACCAGGACGAATTGAACAAGGCCTACCGCAAGAAATCCAGACTTCTCCATCCCGACAAGCTCAAGCGATCCTTCATCGCCAACCGTTCCAAGGACAAGGGCAGAGCCAAAACCTCCAAGCAGGGCGTCCATGTCAACAAGGGTCCCTCCCAGCGCGAAATTGCCGCCGCTGTCAAGGAGGCCCATGAACGGTCCGCTCGCTTGAACACCGTCGCCAACATCCTCCGCGGACCCAGTCGTGAGCGTTACGATCACTTCATGAAGAATGGGTTTCCCAAGTGGAAGGGCACCGGATACTATTACTCTCGATTCCGTCCGGGTCTAGGAAGTGTGCTTGTTGGGCTCTTTCTCGTTTTCGGTGGTGGTGCTCATTACGCAGCCCTCATTCTCAGCTGGAAGCGGCAGCGGGAATTCGTCGACCGGTACATTCGTCAAGCGAGAAGGGCCGCCTGGGGTGATGAACTTGGCGTCCGTGGTATTCCTGGCGTCGACGCCGCCAGCGTTGCCGCCCCTGCTCCACCTCCTGAGCAAGGAGAAGCGACTGCGATTCCTATGAACCGACGCCAGAAGCGCATGATGGAGCGCGAGAACCGCAAGGAAAGCAAGAAAGGTTCAAAGGCGTCACCTCGCGGCTCCGGCACTGCAACACCCACCACTGAGTCTGTCCAGCCGGCTGGCGAGAGGAAACGGGTTGTTGCTGAAAATGGAAAGGTGTTGATCGTCGATTCCATTGGGAATGTCTTCCTCGAAGAGGAGACCGAAGACGGAGAACGCCAGGAATACCTGCTCGACGTTGATGAAATCCAGCGACCGACTATCCGCGACACAATGGTGTTCCGCGTCCCGATCTGGTTGTACCAGCAGACCGTCGGCAAACTGACTGGAACTTCGACCATGGAAGAGCACGAAGTCGACTCTGAAGAAGAATCAACAGAGGCCACGGAGCAAGACGTCCAGGATAGCAACAGTTCTGCTCTCAGGTCCAATAGCGGTGCGTCTAGACGGAGAGGCAAACGGTCACAAAGGTCCTGAGCCAGCCTGTCCCCAGAATGGGTGCGCAATTGTCAAGGTCGAGCCTTGGCTTATACTACTCTTCCCGAGGCATTCTCGGAGAGAAAGCATTGTATACATGTATATCAATTTAGACATAAAAAAGCTACTACACCAAATCTTATGCCACGCAATACCTTCATCTTCGCAAGAAGTTGACTTTAACTGTTGCTGCAACTACGCTCATTGTCTCCTAGAATCTCCTAGAATGCCCTTGGGCAGCAGCCATATCTATTGAATGCAGTTTGATTTTCACTAATCTGTTCGCGAACAGGCCGTGCCATCGCAACGTTTCAACCTGAAAAGAGTGGCTAGAGAGATGCAACGGCAAAGATAGGCAAGCTAGGCCATGGAGACCTTTGAGCGGAAAATCGTTGCTTACCACGACGCATGTGTAAGCTTTAAATGTATGGCATTGCAGGCAGCCTCCCAATAATAGCTGGTATAAATCATCAACGGTTGTCGCAAAGAAACAAGACATCCATTATGTGGATCCAGTACATGTAGTCATCGTCATTGTCATAGTCATGATTGTTCGTAGACATTCTTCATATCGCCACTCGGCAGGGATGGCGGCGTCAAAGCTTATCGCCAATTGCAGCTGAGCTTCCCTGGGTTTGCTGGGCCCCTCAGTACTACAGGAACATTTTAGCGATGTTCATGAGTCCATTGAGGTTGTCATTCATGCCACCCTCGCCGACCCTTCCTGCACCGGAGGAGTGACCACTCAGGCTATGCGGTAGGCGGATACCGATAATGGCCAGCAGTTTCTGCAGTACGCCACTCGTGAGCAGAGGGATGATGACCATGAACAAGACCTTTGCAGGGTGACGGCGCGCATAGTTGTAGATGTCGCGGAAGAGCCGCTTGATATAGTGGATCACGCGCTGGATAAACCCAGCTCGAGGCCGTGCGCGTCTCGACGATGACGAGGACAGCACGGATGGGCTTGAACGACCAGCACGACTGTAGCCACCTAGGCTGAAAATTGATGGCGCCGAATGGCGAGAGTGCGAAGTCGAATAGACAGATCGACGGGATGGGGAGCGTCGACGAGCATGGCGAGATGACGAAGTCGATCTTCCATCAAACCAGCCCATTTTTGTCAATCGGTGTTGGGGCGCCCTGGATTTTCTCAGAGTAAAGAATCAACCTTAAAGCCAGAGTGACCTGGAGCAATGTAAAGGTAGCCGCTGAACTATGGTCCCAAATTGAGCATGCAATATCTGCCCCTCAGTCGTCTTCTGTGCGCAATTCAGATGGATCGAAAGTGGATACGCAGTCAATTGATGCAAATGCACGAAATTCCAGTTCTAGGCCCAGTGAAGAAGATGTCTCCAGTACTGGAATTGGGAGATGTCCTGCCGAGATCTCTATATAGATCAGAAGTCCTGGCAAAGTCACCGTAAACAATGATCAGCGGCCTAGTATTTCATGCAATTGAGAGATCACAGCAAGCAAAGGCTGGGGATAAGATGGAGAGTTGTCAATGTGATTCCATCTTTGAGCATAAAAGAACTGGAAGCCAAAAGGAGCTGCTTGCACCAGCTAAACTGACATGCGTTAGTAGAAAGCTGACGGGTGGCTGGTAATGAGCAGAATGATCCTCATTGGTGGTTGTTCCTCAGGGGGTGTTGCACGCAGATAAACATTGTGTCCTTATTTTCAAGGCATCGATTACGACGTCATCGGCTTGAAGGAAGCCAGCACATGGGTCTTGGATTTCTCAAGTTGCTACCTCTCTACGTTGTTATGCATTTAGAAATTCTTCACATTTGACCTCACGGTTAGTTCATTTGAAACACGAATAGAGTCATCCCCACCACCTCTTAGTTTTGCACGACTTGAGGATTTTCTCTCAGAACGTTTAACAGTCAATATGCCTAGTAAGACCTACCAACCCTAGTCTTACCTTGAGAGGATAATCAAAGACTGACAAACAAGAATCAGGGCGACCGGATTACTGTAATACTGCCCTTTTTTAAGTGACTAAACCGGTCGGAGCTGCGCTCATAAGGATACAGACAGAATTCTGGGTGTCTCCCCTGACGCTACTCAACAACAAATTCGGACTGCATACAAAAGGTGCGCAAAGGCCTCGGATCATGTCGAGGAGTTCAATAACACACAATAATCTGCAGAGAATCTTTGAAATCCCACCCCGATCGAGTGCCTGCCGATTCACCAGAGCGACCCGCCCGTACTCGGAGATTCCAAGATATCAATGATGCCTATTATACGCTTTCTGACCAGACACGTCGGCGAGAATATGACGCCCTAAGAGCAGCAGAGGCATACGAAGAGCCAGCGGAGGAAGTGCCTCGGGGTGGTGCTGGCGGCTTCCCATGGTCTGCCTTTGGATTTGGCACCACCACAGATAGCGAGCAACGAGCCTCCGAGCAATTTGGGTCTGTCTTCGAGGAGATGTTACGGGAAGAAGGACTCGCCGAGGATACCGATACCGATGGCCAACGTCGTACCAGGCCTACGTCACGCTTTTGGTCTGTTGTGGGTGGTATCAGCGGTGGTGCTTTAGGATTCATTGTGGCCAATACTCCCGGTGCTTTGGCTGGTGCCGTTGCAGGGAATCGCCTTGGTGCTGTTCGAGACGCAAAAGGCAAGAGTGTCTATGAGGTTTTCCTCGAACTTCCGCAGTCCGAAAGAGCCCGACTACTGAGCGAATTGGCAGCCAAGGTCTTCCAGTCTGCTGTGGGTCGCTAGGCGATTTGCGTCATACTAGCTAGTCTCATGTGGTGTGTTCAGTTCGTTGGGAGTTTATACGGCTTCATTTCTGGAAGATTTGGAGGATTTGGAGGATTTGGAAATCGATTTAACGCACACTATGCTTAACGCTAATACGTAGTATCTGCCATTAGTCCCTTGACATAGTTGCATAAGTCTAACAGAAGACACTCCTAGTCTATCGCACTATCTACTTTCACGCTCAGTCACGAGGACGGCAACAGAAAAGCGAGGCATTGGGCGGTGATCCCCACCGTGTACTTTCGATATCTAGGTCTATCTCGGTCGTTGTCAGCCGTGGACCCGTGGTTGCAGGTGATCTTTTCTACGAAACTCTGCATATCCTATCAGAAGAAATTTGCAATGGACTCTCATTTTTCTCTACTTTGGTTTCGGTATTCATTGGCATGCGATCTACTTTTGTTGATTTTCTGTAATTGGCCGACCAATAATACAAGCTATATGGAATGTCCCTCAAAGGTGGTGCGATGAAGTACTCTCACTTCTCTGCTAGTCTGGTTATCAATAAGAAGATCCAGACCCACAGATGTATCCTACAGTGAAAGATTGCTGGGCCCCTGACTCTGACTTTGACCGCTTCAAGCTTGTTTGCCTTGGTGCCTGAATCAACAAGCACTAAGGCACTCTTGTCTAGACCCCGCTAGCCACCGCATGCGGATAGGCCACGTTCCTGAGGTTTACTAGAGAGGCATTGATATTATTTAATAGTTCTTTGTCCTGCAGTCTTGTTATCCTCTGCGAATCTCGGCTGTCTTTGATCCCTAGCTCTCTTTTGCACAGACATTGCACGGCCAATTCATTGATTAGATTTAGCAATATCATTTTGAGAAACATACATCATCATGGCTACCGAAGCTGCGAGTATTTACCCGGCTCTCCAGGACCGCCCTATTAAAAACACAATTTGTCTGTTCGATGTTGATGAGACGCTGACACCTGCGAGACAGGTACGTTAATTTACCAATGAAGATTCTCAATCCCGAGTCCATGAGCTGATGGTCACAATTCTCTTCCTACCAGACCGTTACCCCCGAGATGCTCATGCTTCTTTCACAATTGCGCCACAAGTGTGCCATTGGATACGTCAGTTAACCCATTCACTGGATCTCGACGTCCAATCTCACCCTCTGCAGGTCGGTGGTTCCAATCTTGTCAAGCAACAAGAACAACTTGGAACGGCCGCTACGGACGTGACCTCCCTTTTCGATTTCTGCTTCCCGGAGAATGGTTTGATGGCTTTTCGTCTGGGCAAGCCTCTTGCCAGCACCAGCTTCATCGAGTGGATCGGCGAGGAGAAATATCAGAAGCTGGTGAACTTTATCCTCAAATACTTTGCGGACTTGCAGTTGCCCAAGAAGCGTGGTACCTTCATTGAGTTCCGTAATGGAATGATCAATGTTAGTCCTCTTGGCAGAAACGCAAGTGTTGAAGAGAGAAACGAGTTCGAAGCGTATGTATACAAATCTGCGCTCGGCCAGCCCTTAAGAAGACAGCGATGGCATCTGTGAATACCAGTCGGCTAATGATTACGGCAGATATGACAAAGAACACCACATCAGATCAGATATGGTCAATGCGCTGAAGAAGGAGTTTCCTGACTATGGCCTCACGTAAGTGAATCATAATGACAATAGTAGAAATACTTCGTTCCAGAATAATGATTCTAACAATCGATCTGCAGCTACTCCATCGGCGGCCAGATTTCTTTTGACGTCTTCCCCACTGGTTGGGATAAGACCTATTGCCTGCGGCACGTTGAAGCTGAGAAAGAAATTACTGGGGTTGAGTACACGACCATTCACTTCTTCGGAGATAAATGCTTTCCTGGAGGTAATGACTACGAGATCTACTCAGACCCGCGGACGATAGGCCATTCCGTACATGGTCCTGAGGACACCATGCAGCAGCTTAAGGAATTGTTCCAGCTATGAAGCATGCTATTTTTTTTTTTTTTTCCCATCTTTCGTGACGGCTTTGGGGCACATTCAAATGAGACATACAGCGATATCCTTCCCACTGTTTGTGACATAGCTGAAGAATTATAATAATGATGCATAGACAAACTCATTGCAAATGTAATTCAATCATGCCTGCTATGCAATCATACTTCTCCAATGAGAAGCTGGAGATCACATGCATCCCAAAATGCACTAGTGCTGCGATAATTATACACTGTGTTAGTCATCGGCAATGTCCGCATCGGTTGACTGCGAGTACTCCGTAAGAGACGACCAACAGTCACTTATCCGACGAAGGATAGAAGTTACTGGTTTATACTTCTGCTGCTACATCTCTCCCCGATGAGTCGTCATCGTGCTGATATACTCTGAGGATGGCGCCGCAGAAATCTGTCACAGAAGTCCCGCGCTCCCTTCTCCCTCGTCTGACCTGGAACGGCTCCTCTACCCGGATTACGGTCGCTCCACCCCAAGGCAACGCTCTCTCGACTTTGCGACCCAAACCCCAGCAGCGCATACAAAATTTGAATCCTGTGTGTCAACAGCTACGTTCTCTGTCCGTTTATCCACATCAAGCCCGCTTTTTTCCCGCGGCGTCTCGGAACGTTAGCCCGACAACACTGGTTGCAAGATGCCCGTCTACATCACCGAGCGCCCGGCAAAACCGTGCAGCTCTCGAGGACCTCAACAATCCTATCAGGTATAATGGGGTATATGTAGCCGTTTTCAAGCCAGCGCGGCTCGCCTTTCATGCCTCGGCTTCTCGGCAGCGGGAGCATCACTTCGATACATTGAGATTCGTCCAACGGCTTAAGGATGAAGGATTCAGTGAAGAGCAAGCCGTCGCAATGATGAGGGTCCTGAACGATGTCATCCAAGAATCAATACAGCACTTGACGCGAACAATGGTTCTTCGGGAAGGTTGGTCAACTCCTTGTCTGTCCCGACTTGGCCATGCCTTAGGACCAGGTCCATTTGGAGCTTTGGCAGCCATCTATCCTCTTCATTGCTCCTCTTTATTATCAAGCGCTGACGACGCATTGTAGATACTGAACGCTCAGCATACACACAGAAAGTCGACTTTGCTAAACTTCGCTCCGAGCTATTAAACGCAGATTCGACCGAAGCGCAGTTGACTCGATCATCCCACGAAAAGATTGCTGCGGATCTTGCGAAACTTAACTCACGTCTACGAGACGAGATTGGACGAACCCAAGCCTCTGTTCGGCTTGATTTGAACCTTGAAAAAGGACGTATCCGAGAAGAAGCGAACGGCCAAGAGATGCGCATCAAGGAGACTGAAACACGAATCGAGCAGGAAGTTGCAGGGCTGCGAGAGCGCGTTGAGGCTGTGAAGTTCTCAACCTTACAATGGCTTATGTATGGCTCCTTTGCTACATTCTCTCAAGGCTGGCTAACATATTATACTTTCAGGGGTGTTTGCACCGGTACAGCCGCTCTCATTCTCGGTGCCTGGCGTCTTTTCATGTGATTCATCGGCGCTTGAGTCCGACTCAATTCGGTATCGACTTCTTCAATACTCCAATCTTACCGTCGAGTTGTAGTTCTTGTATATAATACTCCGCTCCTTTTGCTCAGATAGAACAAACTGAGAGGAAGGAAGGTCCGTTTGGATTTGTGGAGTGTGGTGACCACGCACCTGGTCCTCAAAAGATACTTTGTATAATTTTAAAGGGTTGTTTCGGTATGTTCAACGAAAGCGAGTCGTGGAATTGACATTGAGAAAAGAGAGTGGTTTCACAAATTGTAAGGACATTTCGATCGATCGCATACACAGTCACATTACGACGATATTCGCCATCAGACGTAGGTTCTATCTGAACCGGAATAGGTCATTCCGCCGTCCAGGGGACGTGTTGTGTCGGTCTTTCCCAAAATGGCAGGTCGATTGTCTAGTGTGTGACATGACTTCTATGCCGCATGGCTTGTCAACTCTTCCAATTAACGTCAACTACCACATAGTACATCAGAGAGCCGTCGCACTCCTTGCAGGCTAGCGTTTATTTTCATTACTTCTGTCTTGTTATCATGGTATGGTAATTTTATCCCCCTGCAACGCTCATATTGGAGCAACGACAACGCTATTGAGCGGGGAAGAGGAGACGCAAGCACTTTTACATGTGGCCGACGGGGCTCCTGTATAGCTCCGTCACATTGATAGACCCAGCCATGGCACGATCCGAAAAAATGGAGCAGGGACATGGATCTAGTCGCGGCTTCCTTTTAGGATGCTCCATGTCCCAGGCACAGGTGGTCATGATGCTTGTTTCGACGCTACTTCTCAGCTGTTGTTTTGCAGTGAGTTTTGCGACCATTCGGCGATACCGAAGAATATCCAAGGTCGAGGCGAAAGAACTTTCGCTGGATGATATTACAATATACAAAGAGTCAAGATTGGATACTCGTTCAGAATTAAAACCTTCTGTGTCATTGGATTGGAATAGAAATCAAGGAGATTTCGTCCGGAACTGCCCCTACCAAATAAAGATCGTCTGCATGGCGCTGTCGCTCATGCTTTGTGCCGCCTTTATATGGCTTGGATACCTGCCTTTGGAGTGTTTATCTGGTATTGCAACTGGTCAGGTTTCAGCTTCTACCTCCAATACGACTGGAGTGTTGGAGGTCTTTCAAGTGTACCAACCTGTTTCGATCGCTGGAGGCGCAGATTCTGCATGTAATGATGAGATACTCCTTATGGATCATGTGTTTGCCTATAGCTATGGCAAACCCTTCGTAGGTCAGTGGATATCCTCGCGGATTGATGGCTCTGATATTGATTCTAGTAACAAGGATATTACAATCCACCCAAATGTGACTTTGACACGGTTCGAATCAACCTCACTGTGACTTCGAAAGGTCGACAATATGATCGATTAGCGATCATGTACCTTGGGGATGCAGAGGTATTCCGCACATCGACAGCTGAACCAACTACAAATGGGATTGTCTGGACATACATTAAGGAGATGTCTCAGTACAACGCACTGTGGAAAGAACGACAAAAGCTAATCTTTGATTTGGGTAACCTGATATCCGACGTCTACACAGGCAGTTTCAATGCCACACTTACTGCCGTCTTCTCTCAACGGGGCACTACTATTAGAACAGCGGATATGATTCTACCGATATCAGCGCGCAAATCAGCGTCTAATGCATCAAGTGCCTTAATTGTGCCTTCAGACAATGCAGAGATAGCCTACCAATTCCCCTCCAACACTGCCCGGGCCATTGTGTCGATTTCTGCATGTGGACAGTCCACAGAGGAGTTCTGGTGGTCTAACGTGTTCTCGTCCGACACAGAATCATTCGTCAACACGGTTGGCGAACTCTACGGGTATTCACCCTTTCGTGAAATCCAGCTCTATATCGACGGTCTGCTTGCTGGGGTCATCTGGCCATTCCCAATTATCTTCACAGGGGGCGTCGCGCCCGGCTTCTGGCGTCCAATAGTTGGAATTGATGCTTTCGACCTGCGACAGCCCGAGATAGACATCTCGCCATTTCTTCCTCTTCTGACTGATGGGCGAGAACATTCTTTTGAAATAAAGATCGTGGGCTTGGAAATCCAAGCGAACGGAACTGCCAGACTTTCTGATTCTGTCGGCTCTTACTGGGTGGTCACGGGAAACATCTTTTTGTACCTGGAGGAGGATGCACCGTATTCAAAAAGTGATCAATCTCAGAACGAGCCTAAAATAATCTCGCCGACACCACAGTTTACAATTACACGACTTCTCACCAAAGATGAGAAAGGCGTTAACGATACACTCTTGTACTCTGTTGTTGCTGAAAGGACTCTCAGTATCACCTCGACCCAATCCACCTGGCATCAGTCCTTGAAGTACTCCAATTCGGGTCTGCTGAACCAGAAAGGATTGAGCCAAGCGAATCGCCAACTCACATCCGGGAAAATATTCGCCGCAAAAATTGGAGTCAACGGGACTACGGATGATCTGACCTTCGAATATCCTTTATTTGTCAACACAACATATGGTATCACTGACACTGAGCTCACCATAAATGCCCATATGGATAGAGGTCTTGATATAGCGGCGACAGGAGTTACTGGTATCTCTACCTATACCCTGACTTCGGGACCATTGCGATTGCACACTAGACAACGGGGCAGCGCATTCTACCATTCAGTCACAGGTGGCGGGTCGACATCTGCTGGAGATACAACTGATGTTTTCGAGAGCATTGCTGAACAATCATATCACAGAACCGTCCGCGCTATCAATGGAAGTGTTGTCTCTGATACAGATGGCCGGCCACAGACTGCTTCGTTTAAAGCAATTCAGGGTATTCTGTCATCATCAGGCAGAGACAGCGTGAGAAGCATCATCGGAAGAGGGCCTGGCGGCAAGAATTAACACTTAATGTGAAGCTACTCGGAGGGCAGGTAGACCTAGATGCAATATCTCACTTCCAAGCACTGATGGAGCTGAATGAAACATAACTTTCATACATATCTTTGGTGCTTAATTGAGTTTAAAGCCATACTTTACCAACCAACAGAAAAGTGAGTTTTGCCACTCTCCCCAGAACCATGGAATCTCGATATCTATATCACGTGAGTTTTATGATAAGATTGCCTTATCGCCATTTGTCTTCCTACTTTGTACTTGATGCATTGTGGCGCTTTGTACAGACGAAACAGTTGCAGGATGGCTGTGGTGACGGAAGAAGTTTGCTATTCAGGTGCGCGGACTACCCTTTCTCTAATGCGATTTGCTGATTGATTGCTAATTCTTTACAACATGCAGGTAGAGTGCCTGATAGCTTAGCCACTGCTTTTGCGCAAAGCGGGCGACATGCGCAAAGTGGGCAACTCGAGAGCGATGGTCCTCCCAGCAAGCGTCGCAAACTGACATCAGCACCCCAGAGTCTTCGAGACGTGAACGGCGCATCAGAAAATGGAGTTCCCAATGGATATATTGCGTTGGCGCGCTTTGACCTAAACCTGGTATGTAAATGACCACAATTATGGACCAAATACCGTTGAGAGCCGCGACTGACTTGAACAATCTATCAGAAATTCGCTCACGCAAATCCTCTTTTGGAGGGACACATTGATGATCCTTTGCCGCTATTACCCCGGCTTCCTGTTGTCCTTCAGACTGCTGGAAACTCCCGACATTTGGCCAGTTGGACTTACGAGTCGACCTCGTATGACTGTTTCGAGCTAGAGATAGCTACGTTGCCGGAGCAAGAGACCGTGTACAAAGAATCGTCGACTAGTCCTCAATTACTAGAGTTTGGGAAACACCTCGAGTCCGCTCATCGCCTTGTTTGCGCCGATCGATATCATAAGAAGGCCCCGATCGCATGTTATCAATGTACTACCCATTGTTCAACAGATAGAAAGTCATTTCGGCTTGAGACAATTATTTTATGGAGAGATTCTCTGGATATTATCGATGAAAAGCTGTTAAATGCTGGGGCACTTCAAACTTTTGCGAAATATGTGCTACAGCGTGATCCCGATGTGTACAACAAGGCGCGCAATATTGGTTTCGCGCCAGCAGCCATTTGGTCGCCTCGAGATTTCTACGATAATGTCCATGTTCCCCAAGACTCACCCGAGTCATCTGCAGAAATCAAGTCCGACTTGATACATTGTCGACTTTATCCATTCCAAAGGAGAGCAGTACGATGGTTACTCGAAAGGGAAGGTGTGAAGCTTCAGGAAAATGGACACGTGTTTCCTCTGGAGAACAAAACGGCGAGTGAACTGCCAACTTCGTTCGAGAAGCGTACAGACGCTGAGGGGAAAACGTACTATATTAGCCCTTTGTTCATGACTGTCACATCCGATCTTTACAACTGGTACGCGCCAGCGGACTATCTCAAGGGCGGTATCCTTGCTGAAGAGATGGGACTGGGCAAGACTGTGGAAATGATTAGTCTGATGTGCCTCCATCGTCGTTCCTTGCAACCTGATATGGACTTGTACATCGGTGGAATGAGACAATCCGGTGCAACATTGATCATCACACCTCCTGCTATTCTCCAGCAATGGATGCAGGAAATTCAGCTGCATGCACCGGCTCTCCACGTTCTTCACTATACGGGTATAAATCGCCATCAGAAGCTTTCAGACCGCGAACTTGTTGAACTACTTGCCGACCAAGATGTCGTTCTCACCACGTATGATGTCCTTGCACGGGAGATCCATTATTCCGGTGATGCTCCAAAACGTAATTTGCGACATGAGAAAAGATTTCAGCCACGAAAATCACCTCTTGTGAAAATATCATGGTGGCGAGTCTGTCTTGACGAAGCTCAAATGATCGAGAGTGGCGTGAGCAATGCAGCAAAGGTCGCACGTCTGATACCTCGCCAGAATGCGTGGGCTGTGACCGGTACACCTCTTCGGAAAGATATCTCTGACCTTCTTGGCCTTTTGCTTTTTCTTCATTATGAACCGTTCTGTGGGTTCGTATGGAATAGGCTCTGTCGATCGTTTCAGTCTGTGCTATCCGGCATTATCAGACGAGTCGCTCTTCGGCACAGCAAAGACCATGTTCGCAGTGAACTTGATCTGCCGTCCCAAAAGAGATTTGTGATCACTATTCCTTTCACCGCGGTCGAAGAACAGCATTATGGACAGTTATTCGAGCAAATGGCCGAAGATTGTGGCCTAGATCTGTCCGGTGCGCCACTCAAAGACGATTGGAATCCCGAGGACCAAGCCGTTGTAGAGAAGATGCGCAGTTGGCTAATGCGACTCCGTCAAGCATGTCTCTATCCGGCTGGAAGTAGTCGGCGTGTCTTAGGTTTCGGTGGCGGTCCGCTACGTTCCGTTGCCGAGGTCCTTGAGATAATGATCGATCAGAATGATGCTCTTGTCCATGCAGAAGAGCGCACTCTCGTTCTGTCTCAGCTCCGACGGGGGCAGCTACTGGAAAATGCCTTGCGTCGTCAACAAGCGCTTGATCTTTGGACAAAATCATATGAGCGGTCCAGTGCACTGGTCAAGGAATGTCGCTCCCGGCTACAGTTAGAGCGTGATAAGAGTCGAGTCACCACCAACGGCGTGAGCCAAGGCGGAGCGCCAGACGATCCAGTGAGCGATAACGAAGTTGATGAGGCGGACAAGAATACTCGCGTTAGTGCGTACCGTCAAAGGCTGCGTGCTGCCCTTGAGGTTCAGCACATTTCGATATTCTTTATCGGAAATGCGTTTTATCAGATCAGGACAGATCCGAAGCTCACTGAACCGGACTCGGAGGAATTCAAGCGCCTCGAGAAACGCGAAACTGAGGCTTATGAAGAGGCCAAGTTGATTCGGATGGAGATACTATCTGATGTTTCTCGTAAAGTTGCTCGCTATATGAGAGTGATCAGAGAGAAATCGGAAAGGAAGCAGTTCGTGGTTATCCCGAAAATGAAGCCACAGCTTTACAGCAAAGGACTGGAGTCCCGCCGCATATTCGACAGATATGAAGAGTTCTGTGAAGTGATGAATAAACACGCTGCACAGTACAATGAATGGCGCGATATCATGGTCAAGTTACTCTCACAGTCGCTCATTGACCAGGAGGATGAGTCAGAGCTCGAAGGAAATGAGTACGAAAGGTCAACAAAACATCAAGACGAGATGTATGTTTATATGGAAGCTCTGCGCGCCATGTTTGCAGACCGTCACGATGCTCTCACTGGTCAGCAGAATGTCCTCATCGCTCACGAGGTGAAAGGTGGCATTATTCAGGCTCAGCAGGGCGAGGGGCCGTCCCCGGGGCTATTTCTTTCGGTAATGAACACCCGCAGTGCGCTGAAACCCGCGCCTGCGCTTGGTTCTCTTCGTGGCATCATCAGCGAGCTTCGCAGTCTTGCGACCTCCCTTGAATGGCAAGGAAGCGGGGGAAGCTCTCGCGCTCTTGCCGAGTTAGAACTTGTCAACTCGGTCCTCCAACATGCTGCCAAGATGGCTGCTGAGCAGAACAAAGTGTCATCGAATCTGGAGAGAGAAGTGGAGATGTTCCGGGACACTATGAATAACCGCCTCGAATACTACCGTCAGCTGCAACAAATATCTGATACCGTTGCTCCTTATGACGAGGAGAGTGTCGGTAAACCGTTGGATGAAGATTTATATGCAGCAAAGCTCAAGCAAGAGAACGATATAGATGCAAAGATATCCACCCTAAGGTCGAAACATCGTTATCTTCTACATCTGAGAGACGACTCAGGGGTTGATAATGCATCGAGGATTTGTGTTATATGTCAGTCCGGCTTTGAAATTGGTAAGTACATATGCTCTATTTTCCTAAGCTGAGACTTCGTTTCGCTTACATCTATAGGGGTGTTGACCGTTTGTGGTCATAAATACTGCAAAGATTGTCTGCGCATCTGGTGGAACCAACATCGCACCTGTCCTACCTGCAAAAGAAGACTCAAGGTCAATGATTTTCACCAGATCACTTACAAACCCGAAGAGTTCGTGGTGCAGGAGGAAAAAACACCCAAACTTGAATCAGGTCGTTCATCGAACAGCTTCATTTACGCTGACATCGGCTCGGGGACACTCAAAGAGATTAAGAACATCGATCTTGAGGCCTCGTTTGGCACCAAGATCGACACTTTGGCCCGTCATATTCTTTGGCTACGCGAGCATGACCCTGGTGCGAAATCGATTATATTCTCTCAATATAAGACCTTTCTTGAGGTGTTGGGGACAGCTTTTGCCCGGTTTAAGATTGGGTACAGTAGCATCGACAATGCAGATGGTATAGAAAGGTTCAAGAGCGACCCAGCGGTAATGTTTCCCCAGAGCGCGCGTGTTGCTGTATCTTTACTGATAATTGTCCTGCAGGTCGAGTGCTTCTTTCTACATGCAAAAGCGCAGTCGTCCGGTCTTAACCTGGTCAACGCTACTCATGTTTTTCTCTGCGAACCACTTGTCAACACAGCGATTGAGCTTCAGGCCATCGCCCGTGTGCATCGAATCGGTCAGCATCGGCCTACTACCGTCTGGATGTATCTCGTATCTGATACCGTTGAGCAATCAATCTACGAGTTATCAGTCTCTCGCCGCCTAGCTCATATTGTCCAGAAGGAGAAAGTGAAGGAGGCACTGGACGACCCGGGAGCCGTATTCAAAAATCTGACTGAAACAGCCATTGATTCGGCAAACTCCTTAGAAGTACAAGATGCGACACTGGCAAAGCTGATGACAAAAGGAACGGCCGGGGGAGAGCTCGTGAAGAAGGACGATTTATGGCAATGCCTTTTCGGCAATGCCACCCAGAAGATGGATTTGAGGGCGGACGGGGAGGTGGCGAGGTTTTTGCGAGGTGACGCAGCAGAGAAAAGAAGGACCACTGCTTCTTCATGATCCTACGATATATAATGATTGATGAGTTACCTTATATGACAATAGATGTAAATACAGTGCATTTTCTTCTCCTGGCCATATCGGGTGTTGTATATGGTCTTTGAATATATATCACCCGTCTTGACTCTCGGTCCCGCGAAAGTCTGCTCGATGTATTTCTTGCAAGTCAACGGGCGCAGACGATCCACTGCTACTTGAGCCTTCCGTTCTTCGGCTGATTTCCCTCGTCTTCCATCTGTAAGAATTGTTAAGTCGACATTTTTGATCGACTCACCTCCCAACGTGATGACTAATCATGTGCGTCCCCTGACCGGCATCGCTTCTCAACCGCAGTGACGTGAGGGTGTATCTGCCTACGGAAGGCGAGTTGTATTCTAGTCATTCTTTATTTAAGCATAGCTTCTGATGGTGGCTTGTCCTTTTATCATCTTTCATATTATCCATGCTCCAGCTTAAGCATCGCTTTTTTCCGTTTTGATTCCGTTATGGCTTCCGATGCMACGTCAACGACTTCCGAGGCTCGCGAGTTGAGCTTAATATCAAAGGTTGAATTAAGAATTGCACTTGCAGACACAGATGAGAAACTCGAAGGACTTCTCAACACATATTTGGCTCCGTTGTTACTGAAGCTGGGCTCCGAGAGTCACGCAGTCCGCAGTAAGGTCATTGCGGTGTGCCAACATATCAATACCAGAGTTCAAGCACCGTCCATCCAACTGCCCGTGGCAGCTCTGCTAAAGCAGTTCAAAGACCAGAAGTCTCAACTGATTAGACATTTTGATTTGCTTTATCTTCAACAAGGCATTGATCGTTTGGGTCCCAACGCGAGAATTGACATCTTACTCCCTCTGCTCCAGGGAATCTCTGAGATCGGAGTAGCAACCAATCAAGGTGCCATTATCTTCAACCTCGTCTTGCGGCTTCTGCCTTTGCTCAATCTACCTCCAAAGGGAAGTGAAGAGGATGCACAGTTAAAGTCGAAGCTTGGTCTTTCTGACCAGGATACGAGTTTTTTGTCTTCGTGGTTCGAGAAGTTACTTCTTCTGTACCCTGCAGAAAAGAATGCAACGACATGTCCTGGGCTATCACCCGCGGAGTACACCTTTCTGAACAAAGGCCTTCCTGCAGATGAGACATGGAACCCTGCTTCGAACGGCGGGCTCAACCTTACCGCAACGAAAGTAACAGCTTTGAGGTTCCTCACTAGCGGAGCTTTCACGGACTCGGAGAGATTCATTCCCGCTCTTATCGCCTCTGCGGATGCAAACTCTCGAGTCTCTGACCTCGGTGAAGAGATTCTGAAGCGATTTATTCCTGACCTAGAAAATCCTGATGTGGTGCAGAAACTGTATAGCCTCTATTTTGGGGACGGTACGGCGGATGGTGCCCAGCCGGTGCGACCTCCTGTACAGTTGAAGATCCTGGTTTTCTTAGGAAAGTCGATCGTAGCTACGAAGGATACGGAAAGAGTAATTCGATTAATTGAGGAAGGTCTCCTCTCAGACAAAGCAAGGTCTTCCCAAGGCCTACAAGCCTCGAAACTGAGAACCCAGATCTTTACGTTCACAACCTGGGTGGTGCGGATGGGATCTCCCTCCGATCTCAAGTTGATGGCGCCAAAGCTCATAGCAGGGTTGAGGGACTTCATCCAATCTCAGGGTTGGCCCAGCCCTGGAGCCAGCGGCCAAAGGCTTCCCGCATCAGACTTGAGCCTCCGGGGTCTTGCTTATGAGAGCATTGGTATACTTGTTCCTAAGGTCGACTTTCAAGTTCAGGACGAACAGGCGCAATTTTCTGATTTTGATCTGATCAAATGGCTGTTCACGTCCTTGAGCTCCGACGACTCGAGCCCTCAGATCTTTGTGAGCATTGAGCAGGCCCTGGGGAGTATTTTGAACTCTTCAGTGGACCGATGGAATAAGGAATTTCAAGAGCAAATCCGTCCTTTCCTCGTTCATCAGATGGGTAATCAACCCGGTGATGAAGATCCCATCACTGGATTCAAGGTCGTTCGCAGATCGCAATATGCCGCCGTTCGTTTTTCAAATCGATTCTTACCATATAGTGATGTTGTGGCTCGCTGGATTGACCTCATGGCTGTTGCGCGCGGATCGGAACTGAATCAAGAAGTTGTAGAGGAAGGCAAGAAGGGCCTACATCCTTATTGGTACCGGCTGCTCAATCCTAGCAAGGACAGAAAATGGTTCGCATCGGCAGCAACAGATGAAACAGACCAGGCTTGGTACAGCTTTCCAACGTTTTCCGACGCGACTCGCTTTCTACTTGGCTCCCCAGCATCAACCGGAAGTGCAGTGGCACCAGCTCTGTCCGCGCCCGAGGTTTTGTCGGGACCATACAGGACCGCTCTGCCCGTTGCTATTGCATTTCTTCGCAATATTCTTCTCTGGGAGTCTCTATCAGCATCCGAAAACATCGTGGAAATTGAGCAAGATTGGGACGTCAAACTTGACGTGCTTCTTACGTCTGATGAAGAAGCCCGACGGGGATTGAAACTGTACATGCAGTCGTCGGACAAGGAAGCTATTTTATTATTCCTAACAAGCGCCTTGACTGGTCTTACGAGTGACAAACGATTGGGTCTACAGCGGTGCGGAGAGCACTTTGTCAACATCTGCTCGCTGGCGTCAAATGAAACAGTTGGGGCCATGGTTCCGCAGACGCTGTCATTAAAAGCCTCTGTAAGCAGTACTGATCAGGAAATACAGAACAAGGCTGCGCAAGCTCTTGGGATTCTAGCATCTCACCCTGCGTTTTCTGATGCCGATATCCGAGCACTGCTTTCAGATCTGTTGGATTCTGTATCCACATGGAAGACAGCAATCGGAGAAGCCATGCTGAAGATACGGGGCGCAATTCTTGCCCTAGCTTATATGCTGAGCAGGCTTGCGTTTCGCAAGGCGCTCCATAGAGCCTCCAACGAACAGGTGGAACAATTCACAAGCACTGTATTTGACCTGGTAGAGAACTCTCGTGACGCTCTCCTCCGACGCTCCGCACAAGTGGCACTCGGACTACTAAGTCTCTCGGGAATTCTGTCGCCGGCAATGATCTCTGATGCCAGATGGAAGCAAATCAAGGAAAAACTAAATCAAGACGCGAAATCCGAGAGTGATACCGCCATCACCGCCCTGGGCCTTCTGGCCTTGACCTTTGCGGGATCAAGTACTGAACATGTGCTCTTTAAAGAGCTGCTCACTTCGCTTTATGAGCTGCATGAGATCCGAAGCCCCGAGATCCACTTTACTGTCGGTGACGCATTAAGTAGTGCCGCGGTCGGTTGGAATTCGAAGTCACTACTCCGGCAATTTGACGTCGATGAGGAGGTTCCACACATGACAATTTCGGAGAGAGTCCTCGCTGAGATGACCGACAAGATCATAGCGGACTGCACCGCATCGAAACCCTCGCTAAGGAAGTCGTCCGCTATATGGCTGTTGTGTCTGATCAAAAACTGCGGACATCTGGCCGAGATACAAAGCCGGCTACGCAAATGCCAAGCCACATTCACAGGCATACTCGGAGATCGTGATGAAGTTGTGCAGGAGACTGGAGCACAAGGACTGGGCCTCGTCTACGAGATGGGCGATCAATCCCTTAAAGACGACCTTGTTCGAGATTTGGTTGACTCCTTTACTGCGAACAAGTCTAACCTCGGAGGAGGCAAAATCCACTCAAATACGGAGCTTTTCGAACCTGGTGCTCTCCCTACTGGAGAAGGGTCGTCGATTAATACGTACAAAGATATCATGAATCTCGCATCTGAGGCTGGTGACCCAACAATGGTGTACCGGTTCATGTCGCTAGCCTCCAACAACGCGCTTTGGACTAACCGTGCCGCTTTCAGCAAGTTAGGCATCAGCACTATCTTCTCTGATTCTAGTGTCAACGGATATCTGGCGAAGAATACCAAGATCTACCCGAAGCTGTTCCGCTACCGGTTTGATCCCAACCCGAACGTGCAAAGATCCATGAACACCATATGGACAGCATTAGTCAAGGACCCAACGGTGGTAATCAATACTCATTTTGATGAGATCATGGATGATTTGCTGACAAGTATGCTGGCGGGCCGGGAATGGCGCGTTCGTCAGGCAAGCTGTGCTGCGATCGCAGACTTGATGCAGGGACGGCAACCCGAAAAGTACGCAAAGTATCTGGATGATATCTTCACGAAAGCATTCAAGCTCCTGGACGATATCAAGGAATCAGTCAGAGTCTCGGCGCTCAAGCTCTGTCAAACGCTCACCAATGCAATCGTCCGTACGTTAGAGACGAGTGATCTGGAAACGAAACGAGCAAATGCCATGTTAGCAAGCGCCATTCCGTTTCTGCTAAGCGACAAGGGCATGGAGTCCAGTGTGCAAGAAGTTCAAGGATTTGCGATCGGGGCTCTGGTTCAGATGATCAAGAAGAGTCCCAGTGGCCCATTACGAGCGTTTGTCCCTCGCATAATCGAACAGTTTCTCAATTCGCTGAGCTCCTTGGAGCCTCAAGCGGTCAATTATGTTCATCTCAATGCGGACAAGTACGGGTTAACAGGCCAGGAAATAGATAAGATGAGATTATCTAGCATCCGCACCTCACCGATGATGGAAGTGATCGAACGATACCTGATTGACATGCTGGACGACGCCAGCATGAAGGAATTTGCACCCAGGTTGGAAGGTGTCCTTCGCTCTGCAGTTGGACTTCCATCGAAAGTGGGATGCAGCCGTGTCCTTGTCCTCCTCAGCATGAGGCCAATGCTTTTCCGTCCGTATGCGGATCGGTTCATTCAGCTGCTCAGCAAATACGTCGTCGATCGGAACGAAACCGTCAGCGCATCCTATTGCACCTCCATTGGCTATCTCATGCGCTTGGCTACGGACGACCAAGTCTTGAAAACCATTAATTATGCCAAGAATCTATATCTGGCGGCGGAGGATGCCAATGAAAGAGTCATCTCGGCAGAAATTTTACATTCTACGTCCAAGCTGTCC